GCGCAAGGGGGGGCCCCACCCTCTGGTGCCCGGCGGGTGAACGGCCACACCCCCTGGCGCCCGGCAACCTCAAATGGTTGGGGACCACTGGTTTATAAGGTCTGTCGCTTGTGTGAAGTCTTTGATGTTGCAGAAGAGGAGAGCTGTCCCTAAACCTTTCCCACACTCAAGGTGTTTCTAGGGTTTTTCACCGCTATGGGTTTTCAGGTGTCTAACAAACAGTGATATGAAACAGAAACTTCCCCACACTTTGTACGTGAATTTTTTTCTTTCTTGTGGGCGGATTCCTTACTGGGTTGGGCTTTCCTTGAGGTCCATGTCGTCTTCTTCACAAGTCCTTCTGCACCTGGTTTCTCTCTGACACGCCTCGGCTCTCACAGGATGTTCCTTGGTCGACACTCCAGGAAGTGTTACGTTCGTATCTTTCTGATACTACCCCAGGGAGTTCCATCTGCGCAGGGCTTTCCTGCTGGGAATTCTCCTCCTCTTTCTTACACGCCTTCCCTTCACGTGCTGGAACAGAGAGAGAATCCAGAGGCATTCTCCGAGCCAGGCCAAAAGGGAAGACAGGGGAACAGCCACAAGGTGAAAGATGGCACAGAAAGGTGAAATGTACTTACCCATTTGTTGGTTGTGGGGCAGCTGAAATTGTGACCCTCCTCTCCGATCCACCAAGGTTAACCCCTTTTAGGCTTCAGGTTTCCAGCTGTCAACTCCCTTGGGACACATGCGATGTGAGACTCGAGGTTTCAAAGGATCGCATGGTGTGTGGATGGTGCAGGAGTGTTGTGGATCAAGTCTGGGGATGTGGGGGTGCAGGAGTTTGGAGATGTGAGGGGCTCATGGCAGGGGGTTCAGGTGTATGATGGGCTCAGGATTTGGGTCTTGGGGTGTGTGCAGGGGTGTTATGATGCAGTAGCCAGATGGGGGCTTGGTCCCAATTCGGGGCTTGTTGGCCAGACTTCATTTTTAAATAAAAATATTACATCCAACACAAAATGTTTCAGCAGTGTCTTTATTTATGGGCGGGGTGGGGAACCTGTTTTGGGTCAGGAGCCACTGACCCACAGGAAAATCAATCAGATGCAAAAAACCAATTCCTGCATAACCCCCAAGCCTCACTGATGTGGTCCCAACTGAGACACCTCACACCCCTGGCACTCCAGCCCATAGGCAGGGGAGGGTAGGTAAGACCGAGATTCAAGGCCTCAGGCCAGATTAATTCTTCTGGGGTTAGTGGATTTTGTGGGCTCCTCTACACTCTGAGGTGGGGCCAAAAATGAGGGATCCAGTGTGTGGGACAGGGCTGCCAGTGAGTGGGATAGGGATGGGGTGCAGATTCTGGGTGGGAAGTGGGGTACAGGAACAAGCTGGGGGTAGGTATCTAACCAGGAGAGAGGGGGAAGGGGCAGGGTGCTGATGGGTGTATGGCCAAGGGGCAGGGTGCTGATGGGTGTATGGCCAAGGGGCAGGGTGCTGATGGGTGTATGGCCAAGGGGCAGGGTGCTGATGGGTGTATGGCCAAGGGGCAGGGTGCTGATGGGTGTATGGCCAAGGGGCAGGGTGCTGATGGGTGTATGGCCAAGGGGCAGGGTGCTGATGGGTGTATGGCCAAGGGGCAGGGTGCTGATGGGTGTATGGCCAAGGGGCAGGGTGCTGATGGGTGTATGGCCAAGGGGCAGGGTGCTGATGGGTGTATGGCCAAGGGGCAGGGTGCTGATGGGTGTATGGCCAAGGGGCAGGGTGCTGATGGGTGTATGGCCAAGGGGCAGGGTGCTGATGGGTGTATGGCCAAGGGGCAGGGTGCTGATGGGTGTATGGCCAAGGGGCAGGGTGCTGATGGGTGTATGGCCAAGGGGCAGGGTGCTGATGGGTGTATGGCCAAGGGGCAGGGTGCTGATGGGTGTATGGCCAAGGGGCAGGGTGCTGGTGGGGATCTGGCCACGGAAAGGGGGAAGGGGCTGCTCTTCCAGTCCCTGGGGGCCTCCAGGGACAAGGATCTCTGGGGCAGGATCTGTGGGTAGTGCTGGACAAAGCACATAGTCCCTGGGCAGAACAGGAGATAGGTTCAAGCAGGGACGCACCCTACACGCTTGCTCAAGTTGCAAAATGAAAATGAGGGATCCAGTGTGCGGGACAGGGCTGCCAGTGAGTGGGATAGGGATGGGGTGCAGATTCTGGGTGGGAAGTGGGGTACAGGAACAAGCTGGGGGTAGGTATCTAACCAGGAGAGAGGGGGAAGGGGCAGGGTGCTGATGGGTGTATGGCCAAGGGGCAGGGTGCTGGTGGGGATCTGGCCACGGAAAGGGGGAAGGGGCTGCTCTTCCAGTCCCTGGGGGCCTCCAGGGACAAGGATCTCTGGGGCAGGATCTGTGGGTAGTGCTGGACAAAGCACATGTGCAGGTCCTTAACAATCCAGCTGCTCTGGACCCTGCGCCACCATCTTAAAACCCACACCACCACCTCCTGGGAAGAGGGGCGGAGGAGACGGGCCGCTCTCTATTGTAAGTGCGCACTATTCAATAAAGAGCTTGTGATTGGATCTTGCTGGTGTTGCCTGTCTCTTTGCGGTCAGACAATGAACAGAGGCCGTCCGGGTCGAGTCCCCGACAGTGGGGATGGAAGGTCCATTTTGGTGGGAGGCGGAAGCGCCCCTGTGGGCTGCTCGCGGGGGCGGGACCAAGGAGGGGGGCTGGGAACACCTCACCATCGACTGGCCATGCCCCCGCAATCGACCAGCTGGTTGGTGGTCCGATCTAGCTCATCCCTGACAGGTGTCTGTCCAACCTGCTCTTAAATACCCGCCCCCCATGGAGATCCCACAACCCCCCTAGGCAGCTTCTCTATATTGTGTTAGCCTCGGAGGGGCCACAGGACTGTTTTCAAATTCCTCGCCCTTTCCCACGCTCCAGGGCGTGGGAACCGGCTCTGGGCAGCAGCGACTCCTGGCGGACGGACTAGAACAAAGCAGCGACTGTAAAACACTTGCCAAGTTTTTCGCCCTGCACCGGCAGCGACCCCCCCT